GGAATCTTCTCTGTAAATTTGAAATTATTTCAAAATAATTTTAAAATATGAAATAAATGTATACTATAGAATAGCTAGTGCTAGGGCAAATGATAATCAGCTATTGTCTGAGACCACGACAAAGAATGAAAACCCTGGCTTACTATATTTATTTACATTCCTTCCTTTACAATACTCTGAGGGGATACATTAACAAGGAGGGCAATGTTTTTATGCCTAACTGGAAAAAAGTATCTTAGTGTTTTCAAATGATACCCCTTTCTCTTCATGGACTTCAAAGAGGCATTTTACAGTTCAGTGAGGAAAGGAATCCTGACTTATTCATCTTTTTGGTCCCAGCATCTAACACACTTATAATTTAGTCATTGTTGTGTCCTTGAACAGGAATTCTACACCCAATATTGTTCCAATCAGAAAATAAAGTGACCTGATTATCAAAGTTTCTGCTACAATGAAAAGAGAAACTGTCTATGTGAAATTAAAATACATATGTCAGACTTAGCCTAAAAAATTATTGAGGATTACCTTTCTTAGGAATTTAGAGGAGGAATAATTAATTATCTGCCCTAAAGTCCTAAAAACAGAAAGTGTATAACCAGTAGCAAAAGGTCTTAGCCTAAAGTCTGGCAAATTGTTGACAGTTTTGGGTAAATAATAACAATATTAATAGTAATAGAATTCTTATAATACAAAAGAGACTTTTGGTTGAAAGAGTTGACAGTGGAAGAACATCTTTTAACAAATGTGAGAGGGTCTAAAAATGATTAGATTGAACCATATCAAACTGCTGATAAAGCATATATCCTATTAATAGATGAGTAAGATCAGATTTAAATCTGAAGGAATACATTTTCATTACAGAAATCAAAGCTCTCCAAGGCATTTAGATAGCTGTTAAAATTAAGCTAAAAAAATGTTTAAAGCTGAATAGATTTCATGTATCTCAATACTGTGTCCTTCCTGGATTATACACACATTGTTTAATACATTATAGGCCCTGAGTCCTGACGCTGAACTGGCAAAAAGAATTATGTATGCCAGAAGACCTGTTACAGTTAACCATTATAAACTTCAGAAGTGTCTTTTCAAAGGTTTAAACAACCTAAAATTACCTTTTGGTAACGATTCATCTACTTTGGAAAACCAAAGGTACCTTACAGAATTAGATTGTTTCAATTTAAAGCCTTATTAGGTAATTAAAAACTATTTTAACTATATTACAACTTCTTCCCCTGAAGGAGAAATCGTAAGGTAAAATCTTTTCTAGCATATTATATATAAAACAACATTTAGCATTAGTAGAAACCAGAATTTGTACAGTTTTTAAATGGAGATAAATCCTTCTTAGAACTATTCTAAGAATTAAATGAGCTCTGGGGGTGGAGGGATCAAGAAAAAAATTAAAAGAACTCAAGGACACGGCCAATACTATGTTTGTTGACTGCAGAGGGGGTGGGGAGTGGGTGGAGGTGGTGGAAGGTATAAGGGGGGTAAATGGTAGTGGAAAAAATACAATAAAAATAAGTTATAAAAAAGAATTAAATGAAATAACGTATATAAAGTACTTAGCATGGTGGCTAGGAAGAATTATGCACTCAATAAATAGCATTTATGGTGTTTATTCTTATAGGAAGGATGTGAAACAACCCTGAAACACATTTAAGTGACTTTAAAACTTATTAGAGAAATCTATAAAGGCATACAGACAGAGTAAGTTAAATATCTTAACATAGCAAATTCAATGAGTAAAGCAATCTTATTTATCCTTATAGTCCCAGAATCTACCACAGTGCCTGGCCCCCACAGTAGGTTGTCAATAAACATTTACTGAAATGAAACAAGAAACTAAGTTTTCTGGAAAAGAAACAAAGAGGTAGTCTGAGGTTGTCTGAAAATGAAACTGAGTCTATAAATTACTATGCCTAAGCAAGTCACTTTAAGAAAGAAAATATGATTCCTAAGCATTTTTAGAACCATGCAATAAAAACTCACCTCAGACTGGTCTTTTCACCTCAGACTAGTCTTTTTAATGACTGTGCCACTCTCAAATCTGTTTTGGCAAATGTGTCACATATAAAGTCTAATATTAGAGAGGAGTATTTTTAAATTTCATTTAAAAAAACTGTTGTGTTCATCCTCAAAGGTGAAAAATGTACCAAAAGTATTGAGGAATCTTTTCTAACTTCCATTCAAGGTGAATCAGATGTATTTAATTTCTATTTCTTCCATCTATTTACACACAAAAATTAGCTTAAACTTTTACTTACAAAAGTAAGTTGTAAACACACGTATTTTACTTTCACAAGCTCAAATGCACTCCCCAGACAAAAAAGAGGAAAGAAAGAAAATCAACTCTCTCAAAAGTGGGCAGTAGTACAGAAATACAAAATACATAACAAAACTTCCATGTCTCAACAGTCACCTTTTGGAGCCCACACTTAGGCACATTCTGCTCAGTTTCAGAGACCCTTCGTAATGAAGACTCCAAATCCCCAGTGCAGTGGGCAAGGGAAAAAGTGTAATATGAAAATACAGTCCTGTTTCCATACTCTACCTCCAAGAATAACAGGAATCAGTGAATTTTTTTAAAAGACCTTTTCAAGCTATTGCCCATCACCTCACTAATAATACACTCCACTCTATACAGTGTTTGGCTTCTGACAGTAGTCATTAAGGTAATTTCCAGAGAGACAGCTGGAACTATATCTTCTGAGCCTACTTCAAACCAAAGTCTGTGAACAGTATGAAGTTACAAATCAAATCACAGTCCCAAATCAACTGCTCGAAGGTTTCGAAAACCAACCAACAAACAAATTCTTAAACACATCTACCTTTAACAAAACAACGTTTTCAGGAAAAAGAAAACAATGGTTGACAGTCAACATTACAGAACAGTTTACAGAATAATAACAAAGAACCTGTGATACACAGAGTAAACTTATTCTTAAATTATCATTTGTTTCCTATAGTGCATTGAAAAGTAGCAAATGCATTAAGGCCTGTAAGAGCTATTGTCCCATCACTAACAGCATTAAAATTATTTTTAAATCTATTTTCTGTAGTAATCATTTGTTTCAAAAAGCAAACCAAATTTTAATGAGTAAAACTGCATAGTCCAAAATCTGGAAAAACAGTTAGTTTCTTTTTAAACAAAGCAGCAGGAAGGTCATATATAGAACCAAGGTGTGTAACATCTGTTGATGCTGATCCAAATGTGTGTTTTTTTTTAAAGGCGGGGCTCTCTGGAATTAAGGATTTCAAATAGTATCTTACCAAATATAATCTGATAGAATCTTTAAAAATCACGTTAGTGTTTTTTTACCCACTAACAAAATCTTCCAATACAAAGATGTTCACATTAGACACTTGGTAAATGAAGAACTAAATGTAAATCCAAAACACATTTGAATCATCAGACTTTTGTTTTCACTATTAAAGATCTTACGGAATGGGTCTTCATTTCAATACAAGACTGTTCAATATGCCATTCGTGTGAATAGAGTTTGTAAGAAACATTCTCAAAACGTCCTCAGGAGATGCTTAATGGTTCTAGTCCCAATTTTCTGCGACTCAGAGTAACGTACAGAAAACGGCTTATACAGTTAGCAAGGGAAAGGAATGAAGATCCAAGGGAGAGGCCCATTCTTTTGTTTTGGTGGCAGAAGCTGCAAAAATAAAGGTTCTCAAGAGCCATCTGTACCTACCCCACCCAACAGAGCCCTGCAGAGCACTTTCATCCTTCCGCTCAAGACTCTCTAGCCCTTGAGATCCCGTGGCTCTCCACATCTCAAGGGATGGGCGGTGGAGGCTGTGGGGTCTGGGGTACCGAAAGAAAGAGGAAGGATATAGACCCTTTAAGGACAGTGACGAGATGCGTCTAGAATGGGGAGGATGGGACGCACCAGAGACCCGGAGGCTTGCAAATTCACTGGGAGAAAAGCCCCACGGGGAAGACAGAGGACCATGCCTGTTCAGGAATGGGGACGGACAGACAGACAGACTGACTGACTGACACACAATCCTCCACAGGACCTGGGAGGGCGTGAACTGGGCAGTCCGAAATGGGTTGAGACACCCTCAAACAGACCGGTACCGCGAAGCTGAGACTTACGGTTACTTCCCAGGCTGAGGGTTACGTGTCGGAGGGACCCCGCAGTTCTGCCACCGCCGCGGCGGCCCCAGCCTCTCTCTCGGAGCCGGTGACCTCAGGTTCACACCCTACCCCCCGCCTCACCCACCTGGGCAGGCGCCCCCTACTCGCTGGCCCGGGTGCGTTCGCCGGGCGGAGGCTTTTCGGGCCGAGGGTGCGCACTGGAGCGGGCACGCGGGCACGCTGCGTGAGCCAGAAGCGCCCGCGGCGAGGCTCAGACTCGGCGGGCGACCCCCATCCTTCTCCCACCCGCCGCGCAGCCCCACTCAGGAGAGGGGAAGAGGGGGCGGTGGCTCTTGCCTCCGCCTGGCGGTCAAGTCCGGCTCATGCTCCAGTCTTGCGTGTGCGCGCGCGCGCACAGCCCCAGCCGCCTTCCTCCCCTACCCCGCCTCCCGCTCAGCCGCGCGCCCGCAGCCACCACCTCAGAACCCGAGTCACCCGCCACCAGCCCCAAGCACCCGCAGCCCCAGCGAGAAGCAGCAGAAACGGCAGCTGCACGGCCGCCGACCCGGAAATTCTTCTACAGCCAACCGCGTTGCAGTTCGGGTGTGAACCCGGAAGCGATTTCCTCGCCCCGGTAGCGGCGGGCTGGAAAGCTAATAAGGCCTTTAAAAATCTGGAACCCCTTAGTTTTGGGAGAGAATGAGGGGTACATGGTACTGAGCTGCGAAGAGAGGGAAGGACAATAAAAAGCCCGTGGGCAAGAGGTTCTCCGAGTCCAGACAACCGAGCTCTAGAGGTGCGGGGTAGGAAGCGCGGCCAGACACGTCCGGCAAATTCGGGTGGCGACACCGGGTTTCCTTGTCACAGGAAGTCGGTCCTGGCCGCTGCTAAAAAGGAAAGGAGGAATGAGAAAGCTGTGAAGATCTCCTGCCCCCAGGTGACTGTCCCACCCAGTGAGTTGAATGTAGCGCCCTGGGAGGTGCTCGGCTGCCCGCTCGGGTGAGACGAGGAGCAGCAAGATCAGACTCCAGCGAGAAAACGGAGAGGTGGGAGGCTGTACTCCTCATTTAGTTTCTCCAGGCAAGGAATTTATTTCTTACAAGTAGTTACAAACAAACCAAAGCCACTTTTTGGGTTGCAGCTTTCTGAACCAAGAGGCGTGCACATCTCTGGTAATGGACGTTGATGGGTGGGGGAGGAAAAACATCCCAGGCAATGTGTTTGTTTTTGTCATTTCAGGGAAAGCGATTCACAATGCCATTTCAACTCACTTCCCCTCGCTACACCTCTCTCTAAGCCCTATCTTTTAGGGCTTTTGGTTTTCTTTCTTTGCTTTTTCTCCACGTTGCTTTTAGCTTCACCAAAAGTCTTCGATCTAGCTGGCCCGACTCAGTATCTCACTTGCATTCCCCTCTCACTGTTAGAGAATTATGTGTCTTCCCATTTTCTCCCTTCATCTGGTCTTTTAACTGCTTTGCCATCCTCATCTTATTTTGGGAAATACCGAAAACTCAAAAGTATTTTCATAGCAATGTAAAACAATTCATTCCGTGATCTTTTTCTCTTAACCCCATGTTAATGTATTATTTATTTCCCCCTTGGAACTGGGTTATAGAATACAATAACAACTACTAAATACTACAGCATATTTAGATATATTAGGGATGAAATGATGCTTCCACAAATTACCTCATTAAATGTACTTGATCTTCACTGTAGGAATTCACTTGGTTCCCAATTCCAATTATTACTTAGTTCCTTCTCTGTTAGGCAAAGTTAATATAATTGCCTTGAAAAGCTATTTGAAGATTATTAAATATCGTAAATTGCAGAGTAGAGTGTCAATATAAAGAGTTTTAAAATTATTGATGACGCTTGTTGATATTGATAAGCGATGACTGGTAGAATTTTTGAAGGGACAAGGAGAAAGCAAGCTGAGGTAGAAGTACTAATAGGTATTTTCGATTCTACTTTATTATTATTTCCTCTCTTTTTATTGCCATAAACCAATATAAGCAGAAGAATGAGGTTTTTATCATTGAAATCCTGTAGGGGAATTCTTACTGATAATTTAGTTTCCATCTCTTCTCTTTAATGTTATCTATGTTTTAAAATAATGGATTTGTTTCAGCGGACTGGGTCAGGGTCGGGTAACTTAGCCCCTTTACCTTAGCTTTTTCTTCTGTAAAGTGGGGATAATAATTTCTACATCATCAGGTTTAGGCGGGTGGATAAAATAAGTTAATATAGAGAGCACTTAGCAGGGTGTCTAGCCCATAATAAGCATTATAGGTGTTAATTTTATATTATTTTAAAAGCATATTAAATGTTATTTAGAAATTGAAAGTAATAAAAACTTACGGAGAGCTTGATAAAAATTCATTTTGGCTGATGGGTATAGAAATGCATTTTATTAGTGGTTTTCAGCTATGGACAGTAAGGTTTTGGGTTGCTTTAGTTAAAGTTGGGTTTTAAAACGTTGAGAAACATTGCTTAAGGCTGGAGGAAGAAGCATTTTTTTTTTTGTCTCAGGAATTTCTTATAGTACCCTAAGACAATGTTCCACATTTTTTTTTGTTTTTATTTGGGAAAATAAACTTTCTGACTGTTGGTAATTTCCATTAGCATGTACTTTGCAAACTGGTAAATCATCCTGTTGGCTTTGACTTCCGATAACTAAATTTATGATCCCGATATTCACATACTGAATCTTTTCCTCCATTGCAAAAGTCTTTAAGTTTGTACATCTATACTCTACACAGCAGATGTTTCTTATTAAAGACACTGGCATTTTGTTAAACAGGACTGTCTAGCATAGTGAAGAGATGTTAACAAACCTCCCCCTTGGGGACTTAATGGCATTTGTACACCTCCCCTCTCCCAGTCATAGTGACAACCAGAAATTCCCCTACATATTTTCAAATGATCCCAATTAGGTACTTTTCCAGTGGCAGTTGTTTTAGCGGTGGCATGCATGTCCTTTCCCAGTAGTGGATGTTAACGGGAGGACGTTGATGGGTGGTTCCCCAATTGAGAACCACTTCTACATATTTGTAAGGCCTCATTGCTTAGGCAGCGTATCATCATTTATGCCTGAGCATTTCCAGAATAGAATGAACCATATAACAAAATGCCACATATTTCCTATTCTTAGTAACTTGAACCCTTATTTACATCTTAGTCTAAGCATATTGCAAACTCTAGTTACACCTTTATTATTTTTAACCAAAGTTACTCTCCCAGTTCCTTCGGGTGTGTTTCTGCGTTAGCAGTTTTGCATTCATGTATTAGTGGCTTTTCTTTCTTTCCTAACTTAAGCCATTGTTTCCTTTTTTCATGTCACTGGACGTATGCCAATTTCAAATATTAAAGTATGAATATTTCTTGAAAATAAATTTTTAGAGTCTTTTGGGGATATGTTAACATTAAATGATGTAAAAACAAAAGACTATAACCCTCATGGTTATGACTTTTATTAGTTCACATCTTTCTATCTTTTAGAGAAGTGCTGAGCAGAGATAAAGCATTTTGCATGTAGGTAATTTTTAAAAAAATATTAATTAACCAGCACAGGAATTGATTTGCTTTACGTTATATTTAGAAAACTAAGAATTACTTGATTTCTCTTTTAAGTGCTTAATAGGAAAAAAGGTTTCTGTAATTGTGTCATACATGTTATACAATGTCTTTCTTTTGAGGGCTTGTAGTCTTCAAGGAGGCATCCATACACTTCATGATTTGTGAGGTTTTATTATCTTGAAGTCATTGTTAATCTGTGGTGATAATTGCTAAATAGAAATTCTGAGAAGAAAGGGGATATGTTTTTCACATAGTATAGGAAGCTCTACTGCATGAAGTGGATTTAATGGAAACTGGGCTGAAAAAAAATTTTGTGAGAATGCATGATAAGTCTTCAGAATTAATATCTCAGTCCTAATGTTTAACTGTAGTTTCTCTGGTGAAATGTATATAGTTTCACTGGATCTAAATCAGTGAAAATTTTTATAATTTAAAATACATTTTTAAATGATTTAATTATTTAAATAATATTAAAGTTTTTGTGCAATAATTTTAATGGTTTTAATCTTAGGCTAATTAAAAGGACAAAAGCTTCTGGATTTTAAAAGAGTTTTTAAAGAAAATTTTCCAGTTATAAGGCTTTTGTTGTTGTTATTTAAGAAGGTGCATAAAGGTCCATTAAAGGTTCCAAAATGACTTCATTAACTTCAGTTGAAAAAACAGAATAAAAATTCCTCTGTCTCTTAAGTAACATTCAGAAAATGTTCTTGAAAATGATTTTTTTCCCCTCTGTCTCTATGAGAGTTGAGACAAGAAAGAACTCATTAAATATGAACAGATCATCTTAATGCCTAATAATCTGTTTTTAACTATTAAAGATTAATCTCAACATGGATGGGAAACTTCTTGTTTGATGCTCTTTTAGAAATTTGCTGCCATGTAAATGAGGGGAAACATTTTAGCCATTAAAAAAATGAATAATAGTACTTAATGAAATAGAACTATTAAATGACCAACAGAGTGCTTGAAATTCAGCTACTTGTTGGAAATTGCTCAGTGGAGATGTGTATATAATATATATTTGGAAGAATATTTTTATTATCTAGGGAATTATAATGGAAGTGGAAAATACTCTTATATCTTTGTCAGAAAGCTTTCATCAACTATCCAAATGTTTTTGACTATAATGGGCACCTCCAAAGGGAATTTTAAACTATACATTAGCTCATCCAAATGTCAAATATGAAAGTTCTCTGAAGATTCTGAAGAAAATGTCAGTGGTAGCTACCTATTTCCAACTTTCAAACTATTAACAATATAACATTCACTTGTATAATTTGTAGAAAAATAAGTGTTTAATATTCTGAGTCACTATTTCAAGTCAATATTTACTTAGTACTTATAAGACATTTTTATAATCGTATCACTTTTTTAGATATAAAAAGCAGATTTTTATGTAGTTAAGCCTTCTGAAAGTATGTATCCTCATTTTTTTTTTAGCTTTTAATAGAAAAGGAAAAAAGGACTACAAGGATGTCTTAAATTATAAGCTAAGGTTTTGAATAGTTCAGTGGTAAAATAGAACCAGTCATCTCTGGCTTGCCTTTTAAAGGGTAGATATGTATTTTAAGATAGGAAAAGCAACATCTTATTTAGTTGTGTTACAAAGTGATTATGTATCCTTTAATTTAATCTTTCAAGGCATTTCTTTGTTTGTTTTGTAAAGCAATGGGAAATCCAGAGAACATAGAAGATGCATATGTTGCTGTTATCCGTCCGAAGAATACTGCCAGTCTAAATTCCCGGGAATACAAGGCTAAATCATATGAAGTGAGAACAATTTACTAACGTTTGATTTGCTACTACTGAATTGTCAGTCTCTATTATCATTTTTATTTACATATAGTCTTACTGTATCCTGTAAATTCTTCTTGACAACCTAAGATCTTGACAAGCTAGAATCGAAACCCTGGATCTCTGCCTATCACTGTCTTTTTGATTTTGCTGTATGCCTTTTGACCATTTTTCTATTCATTGATACATGTAAGTTATTAGATATTAAAAAGTATTTGAGTTTTCCTTAGAATTTATAGATTTTGTTTTTAGCACAATTTGTGGAATGGCTCTCAAAAGTAAAAATAAATTGCAAAAGTCAGCTTATACAAAATTTCAATCTATACATTATTTTTGGTTATTTTTCCCAAAGAACAGTTTTTAACAGTATGCTAAAAAGTATCTTTTTACCTTTAATTTTTAGGAGATTACGTTACTTTTCTATAGTTTTCAATTATACTGGGTGGGGCAAAAATAGGTTTCCAATTTGTATGGAAAATAATGCAATAATTAATAAATAATAATACAAGAATAAATTATGTTTTGTGTTCTCACAACTGTAAACCTACTTGTGCCCCACCCTGTATTACATGTATTAGTAAATGTGATTGGGGGAAAGGGAACAAAAACAGAATTGTTATCTTCTTTATTCAACAGAGTCCAAACACTATAAAATACATCTAACCCAGGGGTGTCAAACTCATTTTCACCAGAGGACACATTGCCCTTGCAGTTGCCTTCAAAGGACCAAATGTAATTTCAACTCCTTAACAGTTCAGGAGTGGTTACATTTATACAGTCCTAAAATTATTTCTGTCCTTTTGAAGGCAAACACAAGGCTTATGTGGCCCTGGGTGAAAATGAGTTTGACACCCCTGTTCTAACCTAACTCCAGCTTATTTGGGTGGCGTGTTGCTTAAATTACTTTTGGGGTGTTAGTTATCTGAAATCTATTGAAGGATATTGCAGGGGTTCTCAGGAGGCTGCTGCTTTAGCAGTGCTCTGGCATCCTGGTTCTCAGTCCTGGCTGCACTGTTGAAACAATCACCTGGGGAACTTGAAAACTTCTGGGACCAGGATCCTACTCCCTAAACATTCTGATTTAATAGGTCAGAGATGAAGCTGGGCGTTGATAATATTTTAAAAGCTTCCCAGCTTATTCTAATATGCAGTTAGGGTTAAGAAAGACTGCTGGCTTATTATATTCTAGGGCAAATAAATTGAATTTAAACTTTCTCAATATTATTTTTCTTATCCAAGATTTTATTGCATGAAGTTCCTATTGAGGGACAGAAAAAAAAGAGAAAGAAAGTTTTGTTGGAAACTAAACTTCAAGGCAACAGTGAAGTAACACAAGGCATATTGGATTACGTAGTAGAAACCACCAAACCAATTTCTCCTGCAAACCAGGGTATCAAAGGTAGGAAACTTCTTTCTTTCTTTTTCTTCCTTTCTTCTTTTCTTTTCTCTTTCCTTCCCTTTTCTTTCTTTTACACGTTTACTTTAAATGCTTATGGAGAAGGACATTTAAAATATATATTAATATCAATTTCTTTTTATGTTCCTTTCTATTTAAAAAACTTGAAAAAGACTCAGAAGTTTGTTGTTTGTTTGTTTGTTTTTAGTTACAGGGTAGACCCTTGAAGAAGTAACTAGAGTAGAGAAAAAGTAACCTTTAATATTTTTTAAGTTGAAAAATATTTAATGAGTGTTAATGACTTGTTTGGTAGAGACAGAAAAACCCAAGGGGTGACATGAAAACTAAAAGTACAGACTACTTTTGGTAGAAGTATAGTTTCCTAGGTATCTTTGAATTGCTATTTTTATTTCTGTACTCCAGGACAGAGAAAACTATAAAGCTCTCTTCATAACTAAGTAAAAGTTAAGATTCATGGATTAGAAAGAGTCCTATAAGTTACCAGGTAGCAAGGGTTTTCTTCCTATTTGGTCACAAGAAGAAAAACGCTATTCAAAGAGCCAAACTGAATTACAGAAGAATATTAACCCTGAAATTGAGGCCCTATTTAAAATGTTGAATAATGTGTATATAGCCTGTGAAACTGATTAAAAAGTAATGATCCGCTTTCTCAGGCCATAATCTCACAAGAAGCAGACAGCATTTAGAAGTTGCAGAAATTATTAACTGTGTCCAAGATTCAGGCATTACAATTAAAAAGGTAAAGATAATTCCAGTCAAATAGCAGTTGAAACAGTTGTTAGTGAGGTAAAAGCATACATACCTCTTTAAAGCTTACTCAGCGTTTTTTCTGTTCATTTTTATAGCTTGGTTGTCTAACTCATCTGTTTTATTAGTACAGAAACTGTTTTTGTTGCAGAGATAAGGCTGTATCCTGTGGTTTGATTTATTAGTTATTTTGGATATTTATTCGCTAGAGATAGCTAACTATAGCCTATTTTTCATAACTTTTGGAGGTATCATTTACTATATTTTACCCTCCTAGGAGGGCCCGGAGAGTTTTTGTGGGTTGGGGATCTAAGCATTGTAACCCAAGATTATAATAAGTACCTGCATAAATTTACAGATCTTTGATATATATTTTGAGTACCACAAAGAGTATCTCCTTTCTCTATCAGATATAAGAGAGATTGATCGTATCTAAAAAGGGGACTAGGCTTGTGGGTGAGAAAGGCATGCAGAAGGCTATCTTTGGATGCCAAAAATTTGTCGGTCTTTTCTTTCACAGTCTTAATCTTTTCTGATATTTTCATCCAGACTTGTTTTACTATTGCTAAATTGTTACAATTAGCAGGATCTATTTTGAGATCAAATTCCTGAAACCAAAGTCCAATTAACCTAAATCATATATTTGAGCTGAGAGAGACAAGCTAGAATTTGCTGTGAACTAGCCAAACTCTACCACTCAGACCATCCACTCCAAAGAAGGGATGGACACGGTGTCGGTGTTAACAAAGATGTTTGTTCCCTGGCCCAGAGGGCAGGATTGTTTCTCTTAGAAGTTATGAGTGGATGGGCACCCTGAAACGTGTCTAGCATAGTTATGCCTTGTATACTTAGTAAAATGTACTTATATTTTTAAAGAGAAATTAAAATACAGAAGTTCTACTTAACTAAACAGATAATTGTATTAATGAGCCATACCATATCCTAATTACCATAGTCAGTTGAGTTTTTCTAAATGTATGAAATATTTTTGTAGTTTATGATTCCTCACATGAAAACCACAAATGATTTTACCATAGCAGTTATGCCTTTCCTTTTTGTTCAGGGATTTTTATAATTTATAGAACACTACCAAACTTACTTATTCATGAAATTGTTAAATTGATCCTTTGAGTTGGTGTATGGTCATTTTCACATCTATAAAAAGACATAGGTTGTCACCTGCTAAAATAATATTCCCATTGGTGAAGAAGTTAAGACTAGAACCTTCATCATTTCCTAATCCATAGTCAGCTTTTATTTTTTCCCTGCAACAGATCTCATAGTCACAGCTATAATTGGCAAAGTAGGCAAGTGAACAGTGGAGTAGAACTGGATCTGGCGAAGCCACAAGGCAGGAAAGATTAAGACAAAACTTCAAGCCAGACAAAAGAAATATTGCCTCTGAAAATTAATAGAATGTTATTCTGTCTCTAACATTTCTACTTTGTACAATAATTCATTTTATAAAATAATTGGGGTCTATAATAATAACGAGCCATAATAATCACAAATGTTGATTCCAGTATTTTGTGAATAAATGAAACTGCTTGAACCATTATATTATCTACCTGTCCACAGAAGACAGCCAGCCAGGGTGAGGAACAAGGTTCTATTTCTTGGGGTGGAGACATTGGAAAGTTTGACAAAAATTGTGACAAAGGTATCTAGAGCATAAGAGGTTTTAGAGTACAAGACTTGTAGGTTATTATTTATGTTCTCCTTGCTACCAGATCAGGAAAAACAGACTAAGTGTTGGTTACAATTCAAAATAACAGTTTGTAGTCCAATCAGATTTTATTAAAAATCTGAAATTGAGGGCAGAGGTTGCAGATTAAGTGAAGAGGTGCTAAACTTTAAGATTTTGCAATGTATGTATACCACCTACATCCCCGCTGAGTGAGGAAGTATATATGCCTCTTGAGCCTGCAGGATGATGCCTCGGTGTTCAGTAGCTCTGGCAGTCCTTAGCAGGACAGTATTTCTTGTTATTCACCAGAAGATTCTCTTCTATTGTGTTAAGACCAGGACCTCTAATTTACTGTTTGATTGTACACAAAATGAATATTATCAGAATTACCAGTTTTTATTAGGACAAATAATAAAATTGACTTCTAATATTTTAATTGGTCTCACTGCCTTTTTTTTTTAATCTTTACTGACTTTTTAAAAAAATGATTAGGAAAACGAGTGGTGCTACTGAAGAAATTTCCTCTGGATGGGGAGAAGATGGGCAGAGAAGCAGCATTATATATTGTTCCATCAGTTGTTAAAGGTAAAGTCCAAGTTTTATTTTACGAATCGTTTTGTGCCTTGGATTCTAAGTTAAAATCTATTGTAGACCCTGACTGGTATGCCTCAGTCAGTTGAGCATGGTTCTGCAAGGCAAAGGATTGATTGTTCATTCCTGGTTGGGGCATATGCCTGGGTTGTGGCCAGGTCCCAGTTTGGGGCACGTGGGAGAGGCGGCCAATCAGTGTTTCTCTCTCACATCCATGTTTCTCTCCCTCTCTCCTTCCCTTCCCCTTTCTGTAAAAATAAATAAATCTTTTTAAAATATCTATTGTGGAATTTAGGAATTTGCACTCATAGTTACTACTATAATACTGTTGTAAAATACATGTTCTTAATAGATGGGAGATTTGTTACTTAAATAAAGATATTTTGATTTTGAAGTAGTAATAATCAGGCTTCTGGAAGTGAACAATAATGTTTTTGTTTCTGTGGGAAACCATGTATTGAAACTAAAACTTGTCAGGTTATACTAAAGGACTTTTCAAGGATGTGCTATAGATAGAATGGAAACAGATATTTAATTATTTTTGAAAATTAAGATATTATGATCAGGACCTATGTTTTCTTTGGGACAAGAAAGTGTCGGTAGTAGTTCTAAAACACTCTGTCCAACTACAGTGGCAGTATCTTAAATGGTGTTAGAAATCTTACTAGTCAAAGTTTTATAACATTGAGAAAGAGGAAATAGTTTCAATTCTCCATAATTCTAAATACTGCATTCACCCAGGTGGATAAAGTCACAGAGCTGGCCATTACTTGAATCCACGTCTTCTATTTCCAAATCTAAAATAATCAATACTTAACAATGTTTTTTTAAAAATATACTGTAACTTTTATTTTTTATTTATTTTTTAAATATTTTTTTATTTCTTTATTGAGAGGGGAATGGAGGGAGAAAGAAAGGGAGAGAAACACCAATGTGTGGTTGCCTATAGTGTGCCCCCTACTGGGGACCTGGCCAGCACTCAATCCACTGAGCTATACCAGCCAGGGCTAAATGTACTGTAACTTTTAAATAAACATGCAGTTGCAAACCTTTTATATAATGGTTATAATGGCATAACTCTTTATTTTTCTTTTCCAGATAATACTAAATACGCATATACTCCTGGATGCCCAATTTTTTACTGCTTACAAGATATTATGCGAGTCTGTAGTGAATCCAGCACTCACTTTGCTACTCTTACAGCAAGGATGTTAATAGCCTTGGATAAGTAAGAACTGCCATTAAAAATATTTTTTAATAAATAAAACACATGTTGATAGTAGAAAATAGCTCTGATAGATACCAACACTTTTGGAAGAAAATAATGAAATTAATAATATATATATAAATAAGTGGTAAGTTTTTTAAAAATTAAATTTATCAAGGTAATATTGGTTAATAACATTATGTAAATTTGAAGTATACGACATTAAAATTTATCTGTATACTCTATTGCATGCTCACAACCTAAAGTCTAATTCCTTCCTATCACTATATTTGACTCCCTTTGAACCAATTCACCCTTACCCTACTCCCCTCTCTCTCTGGTAACTACCATTTCTGTTGCTTATAACTGTGAGTTTGTTTTGTTAGTTCACTCGTTGCTTTTTGTTTTATATTCCACATGCAAATGAAATCATACTGTTTTTGTCCTCTGTCTGACTTACTATAATTCCTTCAAGATCCATTATGTTGCAGATGGCGATGTTTCATTGTTTTATTTATTGCCTTGTAGTATTCCATTGTATATATATCACATCTTCTTTATCCAGTCATCTGCTGATGGACACTTAGGTTGTTTCTATGTCTTGGCAATTATATGTAAAGCTGCAAATGAACATGGGGGTACATATATCTTTACCAGTTAGTGTTTTCATATTTTTCGGGTAGATACCCAGAAGAGGAATTGCTGGATCATATGGTAATTCTACTGTTAATTTTTTTTAAGGAAACTCCATACTGTTTTCGCGCAATGGCTGCACCAATTTACATTCCCACCAACAGTGCCTGAGAGTTTCCTTTTCCCCACATCCTCATTAATACTTGTTATTTCTTGGCTTTTTTCTGCCATTTGCTTTTTATTTTTATATAACTTTTTTTAATTGTCTTTTTTTCCATTACCATTTAACCCCCATTATAGCCTCCTCCTCCCCTAATCACCACACTGCTGCCAAGTTCATGAGTTCTTTTACCTATTTGTTGGATGCCTTCACCCCCTAACCCCCATCCCCCCAACACCAGGAGCTGTCGGTCTGCTCTCTATCTGAGTCTGTCTTGCTTGTTAGTTCAGTTTGTTCATTAGATTCCACATATGAGTGAGATCATATGGTATTTGTCTTTCTCGGACTGGCTTATTTCATTTAGCATGATGTTCTCCGGGTCCTTCCATGCTGTCACAAAGGGTAAAATTTTTGTCTTTATTACAGCCAAGTAGTATTCCATTGTGTAAATATACTATAGTTGTTTTATCCACTCATCTACTGATATACATTTGGGCTGCTCCCATATCTTAACAGTTGTAAACAATGCTGCAATGAACATACATAATAGCCATTTTAACAGGTATGTGGTGGTATTTCATTATGGTTTTGATTTGTAAGAAATGGTAAGTTTTTATAAAACTAGATTTAATAATGAGTTGCTCTCATAATGAGTTACTCACATTAGTGAACAAGTCTTTTAACCTACCATGCCCATGCCTTCGTCTTTCTGTAACAACAGGGTTGATGTGCCTACATCTAAGTGGTTTAAATTTTGAAAGTGCTTTGTATTTTTTGAAAGGGGTTTTTATTATTATAATAGTGTATGTATTTTTAGAAATAGTTTGCAGTGTCCATTAACAAAACTTTTTTTTAAAGATTTTATTTATTTTATTTATTTTTTTTTTAAAGAGGGGAGGGAGGGAGAAAGAGAGATAGAAACATCAATGTGTGGTTGCTGGGGGTCATGGCCTTCAACCCAGACATGTACCCTGACTGGGAATCAAACCTGTGACACTCATTAACAAAACTTTTATTGATAGTAAATGAAGTCCTTTACCAACATTAATTAAAGTTATAAACATCTGAATATTAGAAAGTATCACATGTTAAAATTGGATAGTATTCTACTTTTTTCTTCACTTTTGAACAAATACTTCAGTTTCTTTTTTCTATTCTGCCAGGTGGTTAGATGAACGTCATGCACAATCTCACTTTATTCCAGCTTTATTCCGACCGTCTCCTCTTGAGCGGATAAAAACTAATGTCATAAATCCTGCATATGCTACTGAATCAGGTCAGACAGAAAACTCACTACATATGGGCTATAGTGCACTAGAAATAAAGAGTAAGATGCTGGCCCTAGAGAAAGCAGATACCTGTATTTACAACCCTTTGTTTGGATCAGATCTTCAATATACAAATCGGGTAAGAATTGAATATATTTTGGCTCTGATTTCCAAAGACATTTCATCTCAAATGTCAATTTTTTTTTCCTGAGGTAAAAGCATCTGTTACTATTGTTATAATTAAGGTGACATCCATACTTAGCTCTTTTTATATGTATTAAAGTTAAATATGTAAAGCTCTTAAGGGTTTTTTGTTTGTTGTTAGTTTTATTTTGTTTTGCTTTTCCTTTCTAGGTTGATAAAGTGGTAATTAATCCATACTTTGGTCTAGGAGCTCCAGACTACTCAAAAATCCAAATTCCCAAACAGGAAAAATGGCAGAGAAGCATGAGCAGTGTCACAGAAGACAAGTACTTGTTTTGGTTTTACTCCACATTGCTTTTTTAAAAACTTACATTCTACCATTATAACATTGCTTAAAATGATATACGTACTTAATATGCAATATAGCCATTGCATAAGTGATGTTGTTTGTAGCTGCTCAGTGATATATAGCTTTCAATTTGTTTTTTTGAACAGGGAACGACCATGGGTAGATGATTTTCCTCTCCATCGGAGTGCCTGTGAAGGAGATTCAGAATTATTAACCCGTCTTCTCAATGAAAAATTTTCAGTCAACCAATTAGATAATGATCACTGGGCACCCATTCATTATGCATGCTGGTAAACATTAACTTATTTTCCTTTTAAAAGAATGAATCCTTGGTTATAAATGTTAGCGCTCCTTTTCAAAATTATTCTCATTCCAGCCTCTTTTTTTTTCTACCATGTTTGTCTTATGAGCTTTCTACTTAGATCTTTAATTACCATATCTGTGCATCCATTCAGAATTGCCAGGTCTGCCTTGAGGGAAAATAAATTAGTATTCTCAGGCATTATCAGGTCATATCAAAGGATAGCTAATGACTAGCCAAGTGTCATTGCACAGCACAAGGTCCCTTATTTATTCTAGCAATTTTTATTGTTTTGTATTGGAGTTATGTTTATTTATCCTCAGTATAAAATTTACATGTGTTAACTACTTATGATTGGACCTCATATTAGAAAAGTACCCTTTTAGTTAAAAACCCTCAAAAGCTCTCATTAGAATCAAAGCCTTCCTTTGTGTGTGTGTGTGTGTGTGTGTGTGTGTGTTTTAAGTTGAGAGGGTTAGCTCCTGGGATTGAGGTTAGCTCTTTCCACTAGTTGTCCAATGTACTTCTTGCTCACCTACTCTTCTCACAAGATAGTAACTTTTCCCCTCAGTTGGGCCAAGTTCTTAAACTTGTGTTCATAGCAGTAGTTAATCATTTGCTATAGCCCATCCTTTAGAGAGGATGTAATGCAATTATTTACCATCATTTCTTATGGAAAGGTAACTTGCCTTATTGGTTAAAATGAAATTCTTTGGCTGAGTTAAGAAGTGCCTATATTATTTACTGCTTGTTAATTGTCCACACTTCTTAGCTGCATGACATTGAGCAAGGTACTTTACTTCTTTGCCTCTCTGTTTTTGTTTTTTTATCTGTATGTAAAATGCATTAATTAGATCATTTCTACAGTTCTTTTCAGCTCAAATTCTTTTGGTTTCACTAATTCCAGTATTTGTGATCAAGAAGCTAAATATAGTTGCTTTAAATATACATCTTTTATTCCGTAAAAATATGCCCCTTTATTCAGTAAATATGCTCTTAATTTTTTTCTCTTAAAAAGGTTCTTTATTCTATAAATGTGCTCTTGTTTGCCCTTTACAAAGAATTTTTATATCAGGTTTGGAGTCACCCTAAATCTTCTTTAACTAAACTTACAGTTGTTTCTTCAAATTACTAGTAAATACTGCTAGCAGCCACACTGCTAAAAAAAAACACCACATTCTTTACCTGGAACTAAACAGGAAGAGGTAGAAAATATAGTTCAATCCCCAAGAAAGTACACGTGTAACTGGGACAGAGGTGGTGAATTTTAGTTTAAGAAATCCAAATTTATATTTGGCTATATTGTTGCCCTTTGTGAGAGGTGTAGGCCAGGAGTTATTTCTCCTATAATAAAAGAATGGTAATACCTATTACACTACCTATTACGTAAAAACAGAAGTATGATATTGTATTTAACGTACTTTGGATTGTCCCTAGGTTTCAGTCCCAACTCTTTGTTCCTAAAAGTATGACCTTTAGCAAGTTACTTAAAGTTTCTAAGGATTTGTTTAGATATAAGATGGGCTTAATAATAGTACCTTTCTTAAGATTAAAGAAGAAAATGCAAATAAATGCTTCAAGAGTGCCTGGCATATATAGTCATGTAAGCTTTTTACTAAATAGTTAAATCAGTCTTCATTCAAATTCACATCAATAAAATGGTCTATCTGATTAAAAGTATAGCAAGGTGACCCATACCTTTTGGTGTATTAAACTTGGTTATTGTTTCCCAGCTGACACAAAGTTAATTTTATCAAAGGATAAAATTCTTCCTTAGTGTTTTGTAGTAAACAAGATTTTCCAAGTAAAAACACTGAAGATAATTGAATTTTAGATTTAGACATGAAAATCTTTAAATTATTACAATACTTTAATAATAATAGCCAACATTTATTATTTTGGAAATGTACTCTTATAAACTAATTGGTATGAGGATTGAGGAGGGGAATACTATCTCATCAAGGGACTGGGAATAGGGGCCTATATTTATAAGAAAAGATATTTTACCCCTCTTGGTCTCTTTCCTCATCTTTATAAAGGATTTTTTATTAGATCAATTGTTCTCAAACCTAGGTGTCAGAACCCCTTCTCACTCTTAAAAATTACAGGATCCTAAAGGGCTTTTGTTTATGTGAATGATATCTGGTGTTATCATATTAGAAGATAAAACTGGAAAATATTTTAAGTATTCATTAATTTATTTAAAAATAACAATAGCCCTGGCTGGTGTAGCTCAGTGGATTGAGCACCAGCCTGCAAACCAAAAGGTTGCTGGTTTGATTCCCAGTCAGGCCAGATGCCTGAGTCGCTGGCCAGGTCCCCAGTAAGAGGCATACCAGAGGCAACCACACACTGATGTTTCCCTCCCTCTCTCTCCCTCCTCTTCCCTCTGTCTAAAAATAAATAAACTCTCTTCTTTTTTAATTTTAAAAATAAAATAACAATAACAATAAAGAGCTATTAACATAGCATAATTTTTTTGAAATATACTTCCCAAAATTACAAAAATTAATAAGAATAGCATTGTTTTACATTCTTGCAAATCTCTTTATTCCCCAGCTAAATAGAAGATAGATGGATTTTCACATCTGATTCTACCTTTAATGTGTTGCAATAATACATGTCATGTAGCTTCTATTACACTTAGGAGAAAATGAGACTGAAAGGGGCAAATAACATCTTATAGTATTACTATGAAAATATGTTTGACCTAGAGAACACCCTGAAAAGATTTTAGGGATCCTCATGGGTTCCCAGATCACTCTTTGAAAACCACTTAATTAAGTCACCCTTAGGATTTCCCCAAGCTTTTAAAATTCTCATATGGTAACCATGTACCTAAAAACTTTTCTACAGTTTCCATTTTCCAAAACTAAGTTGGCTTTCTCCCCATATGGGTAACTTTTGAAACACTCAATAAATGTCTCACATCCCATGTTCTCTGATCTTCTAAAATCATTGTCTTCTCTTTCTGATCGTACCTTTAGGCTTCACATCATTGCTAGCGGGTGTTTTAGAACTATGGTGATTTTATAGATTACTCCCTGGATTTCGTTTGGGCCTTCACTGTAACTTAGTTGTTTATCCTTTCTGTCTCATTCATCATATCACCCTTTTAGTCCTCTCCTACAAGTGATTATAAAACTTTCTACTTTTAAGCTCCTGAACTCCCACTACTTTCTTTCTTTACTCTTACCAGTTTTATTCCTATTTTCAAAGAAAATTAAAGGATTCAAAATGTTCTTTTCCATCCCTAATCAGTTTAGTTCCCATCTCTCTCCTCTATCATAGGATATACAAGTAAAAATCCTTGTTCCTCATTAAATTTACTTTCTCCTATTCTGTACTTTCTTCTTGCCTTCCAACATATATGGCTCTCTTCCTCCTTGAAAAGAACCTGCTGCCTCTTCTGGACACTGGCATGTTTCTTTCCTTCCTTTTATAGCCAGACTTCACATGTCAGTGAGCTACTCTCACACTGTTTATGTCCTTAACTTTCTTAACTTTTTCTAAGTTTTTAATCACTTTCCCTGCTCTACAGAATTTAATACTGTGAAATAGTCCTTCATTCTAAGAACAAATTAGAGTTGAAAGGGCATAAGGGAGCCATAATGAAGGTCAGTATAAATACAAGCTATCATTGTTACATTGTCCTTAAAATTACTAAAATGCTGGCCTCCATTCTGTTACCCAAGCATGTGTTCTAGTATGGAAATTGCTATACTAAGATTCTGAAAACTGAATTTGAACTCTGGCTAGTAACCATAAGGCCTTAGGCAAATTGCTTAACTGGTTCAAGCTTTATTTTTCTCATCTGATCAAGAAAAATACCTTTGCTTACCTTGTAAGTTGCTGTGAAGATTAAGCAATTATATCAGAAAGTTGAAAATTTTAAAGCATCATACAAAATGTATGTTTACATTACTTTTATCATAACTTATTGAATTGCTTCCTTAGTGCTTTTTTCCTGTCCTGAAACAGTGTTTTTCAAGATGCACTTCATTGTTCTAAGATGATCATCTTTCTCTGAATTTTCTCTCAGAAAGATTTCATTCATTCTCCTACCCTTAATAGTAATTCTTTTTGGTTGGAAGAATTGTGTATTCTTCTTTTTATTATTATTGTTCATGTACAGTTCTAGTTGAATGTTTATTTCTTCCTTTTGTTCCAAATTGTTGATTTGAATCCTGGCCTCCTTCCATTCACTGTTGATTCCCTGTCTCTTTTTCTTGATTTTATTTTGTGTAACCTTCATTTTTTCCTTTATTTACTTATTTATTTATTTTTGCCCTATTCAATGAGTTCTTTGAGCATCCTTATCACCAGTGTTTTGAACTCTGCATCTTATAGGTTGGCTCTTTCCACTTCATTTAGCTATTTTTCTGGAGTTTTGTTCTGGTTTTTCATTTAGGCCATATTTCTTTGCCTCCTCAATTTGGCAGCCTTTCTGTGTTTGTTTCTGTGTATTAGGTAGAGCTGCTTTGATTCCCTATCTTAGCAGCATGGCCTATGCAGCAAAGGCACCTATAAATTGTGGGGGGTGGAGCCTTAAGTAATTGCTAGGGCAGGGCAACCTGCTTCATTGCTCCATGGTTCCACTTGTGGTAGGGGTGGGTGCCAGAGAGGGGACATCACTGCTCCCTGGCCACCAGAGGTCTGCCCAGCACTTGCCCATTTCTAGTCAATTTACCCACTTCCTGTGTGCAATCGGCACCCCTCGAACTGCTTCCCTGGTGTTTGCCTATGTTTTAAGTCCTTGTGAGCCCTGTAGGCAATGAAAATCCGGCAGTTTCTTCTGCCCTAACCCCCACTGGTTTTTACAGCCAGAAGTAATAAGGGTTATCTTCCCGGTACTGGAACCGTCTGCTGTGTGGTCTGGCCTGGGGCTGGGATGACTCGCTCCCAAGGTATCCCTCCCAGTTTTTGTCTACCACACGTGAATGTGGGACTGTTCAGTCCACCTCCACCACCACCAGCGCTTGTCCACGCCACACTGCCTTTCTCTTGCCCATCTTCACAACTCCACCCCTCCTACCCGCTTCCTACCCGTCTGGATGAATGTGGCTTCTTTAAATTTTTGGTTGTCAGACTTCCACTCAGTTTGATTTTCTGATGGTTTGGGGTGTTATTTGTTTTTGAGATCTGGTTGTAATTCTTTCTATGGTTGCATGAGAAAATGAAGTGTCTCAACCTACACCTCCATCTTGACATCTTGATTGGAAGTCAGCATTTGTCAGTGTTCGAATTCCTTGCTCTCTGACTAGAAAAATCTTAGATTTCTTTGAGATGTTTTCTAAAATTTGTAGTTTTAAAACATTTGAGGTGACTTTTTAAGGTTTTTTTTTTTTTAGGCTTGGAAAAGTTGAGGCTACTCGCATATTGTTAGAAAAAGGAAAGTGCAATCCAAACCTTTTAAATGGACACCTTAGTTCTCCTCTTCATTTTGCTGCTGGAGGAGGACATGCTGAAATAGTACAGATTCTGTTAAACCATCCAGAAGTTGACAGAGTAAGTTATTTATTATTTTTAATGTTTAAGCAATGAATAACAAGCAGTGAATGATACTAAAATGTTCAGTAGTATACTTGAGAGGTTAGCGGGGAAAATAAGTTTCACTAACTGTATAGAATAAGTATTATATATAAACTTTGCTTTTTATGTAAACATTTCTATTGTGGTAAGATATACCTTGCATAAAATTTACCATTTAAGCCATTTTTAGGTGTACAGTTAAGTGGCATTAAGTACATTCATATTGCTGTGCACACATCACCACTATCCATCTCCAGAATGCACATAAAATTTAACCTCTTTTCATTTCATATTCTGTTTCCTCCAAAATATATTTAAGAGTGAAAAAGATTTTATACACACTTTGTAGAATTTGTATTGAAAAGTATTTGTGAAGGGAAAAATAATAGTTTTAACAAAACCTTTGTTGTATTTATAGTCAGAACTTTTCAAAAACTATCACATTGATTAGTGCTTTAAGTATTTCATATTTGGAAATTCATGTTTATTTTAAGTATAGCATGTACTAAGTATGGTTAATATTTACTTACTACTTGAGAAGAGTATTATTTTAATCAAACTTTGATTGATTGAATGATATTTACCCTTAGATTGCCATGTATTTGTAATGCGTTTTTTCTTTTTCCTCTTTTTCCCCACACTTCTAGCACATAACAGACCAACAAGGAAAATCCCCTTTAAATATTTGTGAAGAAAACAAACAAAATAATTGGGAAGAAACTGCAAAATTGTTGAAGGAAGCCATTAACAAACCAGTAAGAGTTATCTTCATAGTAGAGCCAAGCATCCTACTCAGATTGCTAAGTAATTGAGGATCTGTGGCAAGAGTGGAAGGATGAAAGGCTGGATGGCTCTTTACTGCTTTTATAAAACCTCATGGTTAGACTTCATAAGTATTGAATTTGTTATCATCCATAACACTCAGACATTTTTTCTTGTATAGCAGAGTGAAATTTGCATAAATAAATCTTTTGATCACCTAAAATTAACCTAATTTCAAGTGTAATCTCTACTTGATGTGCTAATTACAAATTGTAATCTATTCGTATAGGCATATGTCTCTACTTAGGCCTTCTCAGCACTATGTTTTATTTGTAAATACATTAAACATCATTTATTAATTTAGTTTCAGAAAGTTAATTATCTTACAGATTCATTTTCCTCCTCAAAAAAGTGAATGGATTAAAATGGGAGAGAGTTCCTAGCTTTTTTGTTCTGCATCTTCAACCTGGCTGTTCCATCTAATTATGTTTAAAATAATTAATAGTGACATTATGGTAGAAAAGAATTGACAATTAGAAAAAACTCAGTCATAAAAGTTATAGTGATAATAAACGTATCATCAACTGAAAAACGGCATAAAAACTTGCAAACCCGGTAAAAGGATTCATACCAACAGATACAGGGTAAAATTTTGATACCAACATATATAACCTATGTCTCTGAGCCTTTCTAGACATTCCCACCAACTACACCAATGATTTTCAACCTGTGGGTCACAGCTCACTATTGTACTGCAAGAATTTTTAAGACATGCAATACCTGACTATTTTGTCAGGAGCACTGACCTCTTTTCCCTTAGACTGTCAAATAAAAAAAAAAAACAACAGCCAACACATCAACAGCTGACCAATGTGAATGAATCAAAATTACACCTAATTTTTTTTGTCAGCTTGGCAAAAAAAAAACACATTTTTTTGGTGTGCCACAGAATTTTAGTAATTAGTTTATGTGTGCTGTAAGATGAGACAGGTTGAAAAATCACTGAACGAAACAGTAAGTCTTTCTTGAATATTTCTGTGAATTTAAGACCATGAAATGCTAGAAGTCATAAGGAATCTATGATCTCTCCTTGAAAATGTAATCACACACACACACACACACACACACACACACATGTTAAAACACTATTCCATGAACACCAGACTAGGGCATGAAAAATAGATAAGTGGTATAATAAGTGAAGTATAATATAGACATCCTTATGTGATAGTTCATTGCAATTTATTTTCTAATTGTATATGTAGTTAAAACACTTGTTTCTTGGTGTGATTTTTATATTGGAATGTATAAGATGAAAGGAATTAAGTAATTTTATCCAAAATGAACTGACCTGAAAGTTGTTAGGAGTTATCATTTACTTCTCATAACAACAAAAATGTATTGAGAATGTCATTTGTCTCTGGGATTTTCTGAACTGGAGGAAATAAACTGGTTCAAAGTCCGTTGCTCATAACTTCTACCTGCAGTCTTCTATCACAGAGTCTTAAGACAAATTATTGCTACATTTCTGCAGTATAATTTGTGGCCCAGTAGACTCCCAAGGTCCTTGAGTTAACACCATTAGTTAACCAATATACATCCCCCATTTGATATTTGCTTTGTACATAATGACCTTAAAATATCCTCTCCAAAGCTTTTGAGGTTGAACATTTTAAAAAGCCATTTACCTTACTTTCCGTGGAATAGCGAGAGGAAAACATCTTAGAAAATATGAATAATGGAAGTAAAATTGTTTTAAATATTGCTAGCAGATTCTTACTTAAAGCAGTGTTTTTGGTATTTTCCATCCTAGAAATCTATATTAGGCAGATAAAGTTAAAACTAAATTATTTTGTTGGACTGCACTGCAGTTTGTATCCAGGTTGCATAATCTATTTTCATTCCTTGTTCCAGTATGAAAAAGTTCGAATATATAGAATGGATGGATCATACCGTTCTGTTGAACTGAAGCATGGAAATAATACCACAGTGCAGCAGATAATGGAAGGAATGCGTCTCTCCCAAGAAACACAGCAGTATTTCACTATTTGGATCTGTTCAGAAAATCTCAGTAAGGAAGTTGTTATTTTGTTGTGTAAACCTCATTATTTTTTTTTTTTGAGAGTGGCTTGGTAAATTTCAGTATAGCATCAATTTATTACTGACTTTTAAATTTTGAAATGATACAATGTTCTTCTCTTTTATATAAATTGTTAGTGCTCAAACTGTTGAAACAGATGAGCTTCTGGGCCCACTCCCCACCCCCCAAATTCATTCAAGCAGTGTTTTAAGTGGTAAAAAACAAAACATTTCTTTGGCAATGGAATTTGATTTGAATCCCATTAAACATGATGCTTATCCAACTTCCCTTTATTTTCAGTGGTCAAAATAATACATTTTTTGTTTATATGAATTTTATTTCATATCTTTTTATTTGAAATCAATCTAATGTCACTATAGATTTGTCTCAAAGTATTGTATATATAAAGGATTTAATTAAGGTTGTGATTGATTATCTAATGATTTAATTGTACTGTTTTAAACCAAATACTACTGATTGTATCATAATTAAATAGGCTCTCATGGAATTAAAGATCTTAAATAGACTTAGTAAATTTTATTTCCTTTAAGAATTATTCTCATAATTCTTATTTCTTAAAGACAACAGCAGTTAACGTCACCCTAACTGGGATGGCTCAGCTGGCTGATTGTCCTGCAAAGTGAAAGGTCTCCAGTTCAATTCCCAATCAGAGCACATGCCTAGGTTGCAGCCCAGTCCCTGTTTGGGCATACAAGAGGCAACCAATTGATATTTCCCTCACATATCGTTATTTCTCTGCCCTGCTTTCTCCCTCCCTTCCCCTCTCTAAAAAATAAATAAATAAAAATTTTTAAAGGCAATTAACCTCAAGTTGGGTAGAGATATTGCTAAAGTCAGTGTTGATTTAAATTTAGACTTTTAATTTCTGTGTATTTGGTACTTATGTGCAAAGAGTTTAATATAAAGTTTTATGCATTGATATAATTTGTTTGTACATTATCATCTGTAAAGGACTGATGTTTTTCAGGCCTTCAACTCAAACCTTATCACAAACCCTTGCAACATGTTCGGGACTGGCCAGAAATACTTGCCGAATTGACTAATTTGGATCCCCAAAGGGAAACACCACAGCTTTTCCTAAGAAGAGATGTGAGACTTCCTTTGGAAGTTGAAAAAAAGGTTTGCTTGAAAATCTTATTAACAATCATTTAAATGTGCAGAATTTATTGAGTTCCTATAGTAGGCACTAGAGGCAGAAATTGTGCTCTTCCTGTACAGGTAGGGTTCACTTCTATTTTTCTCTTCAATGCTCACATCCCTTTGTTAAGTGGTAGAGTTTGAGTCAGACTGCTTTACAAAACCGCTGGATGGTTAATCTGTTTTTACTTTAATTGTCTTAGAATACAAAGAAATAAGAGAATCTATCCTAAAAAGAATTAGCAACCAAATGGGAGACAGATTATACAACAAAATTTTTTTCAAAATAAGAAGTACAGTGTCTAAGATAAACTTAAAAAGGGGCTAATCAATTATGTAAATTTCAAAGGAGCAAAGAGATACATTGGTGTGAGGCAGAAAAGAAAAGAACATTCTAAGTGGAGATTATATTTGCAAAGGGGACATAAAAAATTGCTCGACAGTCAGTAAGTAGCTGTTTTCAATTCAGGCAGAGAACTAGGCAGATACTAAAATTAGGAAATGCAGTTCACATTTGGTAATAAAGATTTGTTCCAAACAAGTATGTTTGGATTTTAATTAGACTGTAAATGTTAGAGGAGGGGTAATATAATGCCATCTGAAGGATGAATAGACAAGGAAGAAACCTAAGGGAGATATTGTAAGCTAAACTTGGTATAATAGTCTAAATACAGTGGCAGCTGTGGAAATGGGGATAGGAGGGGGATTTAAAGGTCTCATAACTGTGAAAAAATATACAGTGCTCTCCTGATTCTTTATTCAAGGCAATATTAAACAAACAAGGGTAGGCAAATTTCAGCACAAGAAAATTTCAATGACCATGTCCAAACTTGGTAAATTTTTTGTGCCTAACTATTCATATTCTCCCTCGTAGGTAGATTTGATCCTGTTAGTCAAATATGCTGAAATTATATAAAACTTTGTGTGAAGTATACCAAAAACTATTATATTTTTATGATTATTATAAAATCATTTTTATAATAATAAAAATCATTGTTATTATTATTATTATATTTTTAGTGATTATTCATTAAAAATATAATAGCATTACAAATATAGCCCTGGCTGGTGTAGCTCAGTGGATTGAGCAAGGGCTGCGAACCAAAGGTTCACCAGTTCAATTCCCAGTCAAGGCACATGGCTGGGTTATGGGCCAGGTCCCCAGTGGGGACCACATGAGAGGCAACCACACATTGATGTTTCTCTCCCTCTCTCCCTCCCTTCCTCTCCCTCTAAAAAATAAATAAATAAATAAATAAAATCATATATATATATATATATATATATATATATATATATATATATATGCATTACAAATAGAATGAAGGGAAAAAAACACATGATCATCTCAATCAACATAGAAAATGAGAAATAGAAACTTCCTCAATATGCTAAATGGCGTTTATGAAAAAAATCACAACTTGCATCATACTCAATGTTGAAAGATTGAAAGCATTCCTTTTCAGATCAGAAACAAGAAAAGGATGCCTATTTTCACCACTATTTAACATAGTACTAGAAGTTTTAGTCAGAGCAGTTAGACCCTAAAAAAAGGAAAAGAAAGAAAAGGCATTCACATAGGAAAGGAAAAACTAAAACTATATTCCCAAATGACATGATCCTATATTTTGGAAATCCCAAAGAATCCACAAGAAAGCTATTAGAGTTAATAAATGGATTCAGCAAAGTTCTAGGGTACAAAAATCAGTTGTTTCTATATATCAGCAACAAACAGTCCAAAAAAGGAAATTAAAAATCCATTTTAAAAGCATTAAAAGAATAAAATACCTAAGAACACATTTAATAAAAGAGGTGCAAGGCTTATACAATGCAAACTACAAAAACATTACTCAAAGAAGTTAAAGAAGACTTAAGTAACTAAAAAGACATTCTACGTTCAAGGATAAGAAGATTTAATATCATTAAGATGATACTAGCAAAGTGATCTGCTGATACAATGCAGTCCCTAACAAAATTCCAATGGCCTTTTTTTTGTGGAAATGGAGAAGGCAGTCCTCACATTCATATGGAATTGAAAAGGCCTTGAAGAGCCAAAACAATCTTGAAAAAGAGTAAAGTTGGGGACTTACATTTCCCAATTTTGAAACTTTAATACTACACCATAAAGCTTTTAGAAGAAAACATATGGGTAAATCTTCGTGATCTTAAATTTGGCAGTGGATTTTTAGATGTGACAACAAAAGCATGAATAACAGAAGAAAAACAAATGGATTAAATTTCATCAAAATTCAAAACATTAGAAATCAAAAGACATTGTCAAACAAGTGAGAAGACCTATAGGATGGGAGGAAATATTTGCAAATCACATCTAAAAAGGGTTAATGATACAGAATATATAAAGAATTCCTACAATTCAATGATAAAAGACAACCCAATTAAATTGGGCAAAGGACTTGAAAAACATTTTTCCAGGGAAAATATACAAATGAGAACTCAGTTCAAACCTATTAAAATGGCCATAATAATTTATAAAGGAAAATGACAATATTGGTGAGGATGCAGATAAATTAGAATACTTGTACACTGCAGTGTAAAGTGGTACAGCTGCTATGGAAAAGAGCTTGGTGGTTTTTCAAAAACAGTGAACTGAATTACCATAGGATCCAGCAATTTCACTCTAGGTATATATCTGAAGAATTGAAAACAAATTAAAGGGATACCTGTAAGCCAATGTGCATGGCAGCATTATTCACAGTAGTCAAAAAGGTAGAAATGGTGTTCATCAACAGATAAGTGGATAAACAAAGCGTAGTATATACATACAATGAAATATTATTCAGCCTTAAAATATAATAAAGTTCTTATATAGACATACTGTAATATTGATGAACACTGAAAACATTATGCTTAATGAAATAAGCCAGACACAAAAGGATAAATATTGTATGATCCTACTAATATTACATATCTAGAACAGGCAAATTCAGAAAGTTCATTCATTAGTGGTTGCCCCAGGTGAATGATGGGGGGAAAATAAGGAATTACTGCTTAATGGTTACTGATTTTGTTTGGGTGATGAAAAACTTGTGAAAATAGTGGCTGGTGATGGTTTCTCAACATTGTGACTATAATAAATGCCAGTGAATTGTATGGTTAAAATGGAAAAATTTTTGTTACATGTATATTAACAGTTTTTTAAAATGTATTAGATTCATGAAATTTATAAATAATCTAGCTATACTCAGTCCCACCTAAGAAATGTTAAAAGTTGGCTGGTAGATGCCCTGGCTGGTAGATGGTGTAGCTCAGTGGATTGAGCACCAGCCTGCGAACAGAAAGGTTGCCAGTTCTATTTCCGGTCAGGGCACTTGCCTGGGTTGCAGGCAAGTCCCCAGTTGGGGAGGGGCAAAAAGAAACTGATCACTGTTTCATTGGCACATTGATGTTTCTATCCCTCTCTTTCTCCTCCCTTCCCCTCTCTAAAAATAAATAAAATCTTTTTTAAAAAAGTTGGCTGGTACAGAAAAAGAGCAATAATGATAATACTTAGAATATAAAGTTCATAATTATGTTATAAATAATATAAAGTAGGCTCAAGTGGGAAAAAAAAGAGAGGCTTAATAAGTGCTTAAGGTAAATCAGAATACCATGATCATCTGGTAAATTAGCTTTGTGTTGTTTCACCCATTAGGTAATTAAATTTCTATTTATACCATCTGAAAAATAGAAAAATGGCAGTTATTGGTTAGCATTATTCTTTTAAAATGAAAATAGCCTGATTTCATTTAAAAAGAAAAATTGTTGACTAACACTCGCTGAAAATACAAAGGAATTATAAATCATCTGAAACTCTTCAAATTCATTCAGTCAACTTATTAGAAAAATGTTTCAATCTTTTCTCCCAACATTTATTTTGAGACATTAAAAACCCATAAGAAAGTTGAAAAAGTAATAAAGTTTATACCATATACCATTTATTAAATTACCAATTGTTAATATTTTGCTACATTTACTTCATCTGTTCTCTTTATGAAGCATTTTAAAGTGAGTTGCAGATGTTATGGCACTTCATCCATGCATATGTCAACATGCATCTCCAAAGGACATGCATATATACTACAGTACCATTTACAACCTAATAAAATTAATATTTCCATAATAACATCTAATAATATTAGATCCATGCTTTGCATTTATCTCTTTAGTCTCTTGTAGTCTAAAATAATTTCCTCCAATTTTTTTCCATAAAATTCTGTTTTTTTATATTATGGAGTATTGTAAGATATTATTTTAATTAGTATGACAAAAATAATTACCATAAGGAATTTGGATCTTTGTGAGTTATACTTGGAAGTATTTTAAGTGTTCATCAGAAAATCTATAATTGATGATTATTTGAGTAGAACTACTGTATATTCTGTAGGCTAGCATTTCTAAGTCTTTGTTAGTCTTATCAGATAAAGTGAAACTTCAAAGTTTTTAAAATATAAAAAAAAGCATGCTCTCCTTTAGTGTTATTTGAAAGTGTAAAGTATCTTTACTCAGATAAAACATGTTTGTCTTAAAATAAACTTTTCTAAACTATACATACTCTTCTAGGAATTAACATACTTGTTTTCATCTTCTTTGAGGTTCACTACTATTGTATGTAGCATAGATAATAGAAAAATGTTTGAGGAATATAAAAAGTATAAACTCGTGCTAGAAGTTATCCATATCCATAAACTGATAAAAATTTTATTGGACTGTAAATCAGAGGTTAGCAAATTATTATGGTCTGTTGTCATAGCTGAGTTGCTGCCTATTTTCATATATCCTGTAAGCTATTAATATTGATCATGTCATGGGAAAATTTTATGAAATTCAAATTTCAGTATTCATGTATAAAGTGTTACTACAATACCACACCCATTTGTTGATATATTGTGCTTTTACGCTAACAGTAACAGAGTTAAATAATTGCAAGAGATTATAATCACAAAAACTTAAAATATTCCTGTTGGGCTCTTAATACAATAAAGTTTCAACCCCTTGCCCTTAAGCAATAACAGCTTATGTATGTACAAGTATGAATATTTGCTTTTCCATATTAGATAATGACAAGATGTATATTTGTAACAGGAAATTGTAGCTTAATAACCAAACCATATTTTTTCTTTTAAGATTGAAGACCCACTGGCTATTCTAATTCTCTTTGATGAAGCCAGATATAATTTATTGAAGGGATTTTATACAGCTCCTGATGCCAAACTAATAACATTGGCAAGTTTGTTGTTGCAAATAGTTTATGGAAATTATGAGAGTAAGAAACACAAGCAAGGTTTCCTAAAGTAAGTATTTCATATAATTGGTGGTCTTGTGCTATGCTTAAGATTCAGTTTAACCAAGAAAGTTTAGAAATAAATATTTATACATTAGTTTGGAATTAAATACAGTAGGCCCTCTGTATCCATGGGTTCCACATTTGCAGATTCAACCAACCACAGATTGAACCCACACATACAGAGAGCTCACTAAGGGACTGAGAGCATCCTTGGGAGTCCTGGAACCAACCCCCCTCAGATTCCAAAGGTATAACATTTACTATAGAATGAGAAGGGAATACAAGATATAGAATGAGAAGGGAAGGAAAAAAAAACCTGTAGTAAAGCATTCTTGAAGTTACATTCTTTTTTAAAATACATCTTATTGATTATACTATTACAGTTGTCCCATTTTTTCTCCCCTTTATTCCCCTCCACCCTGCACCTTGCTGCCACCAGCATTCCACCACCTTAGTTCATGTCCATGGGTCGTACATTTAAGTTCTTTGGCGTCTTTCTCCATTTCCTATACTATTCTTAACCTCCTGTCTATTTTGTACCTACCATTTATGCTTCTTATTCCCTGTACACATTTAAAGTTTATTTATTGTGGTATTTTCAATTTTCAAAAGTATTTTGCAGTTATTATAAGAAGAAAGAAGAAACATTTCTCTAAATTGAGCAATGTCAAGCATGTGGCTTTTGTTTAAAATTTTTTTTGAGCTCTGATATTTTGTAGCATAGTATCTTTTAGCTTTAGCTCAAAAATTAAGTTACTTAAAGCCTTTTTTGTCTAAATAATTATATTACTTTAGCTACTAAAGGTAATTCATTTAAAAGATGTTGGCATATTTGCTTGCAGTGAAGAAAATCTAAAATCCATTGTACCTATTACCAAATTGAAAAGTAAGGCACCTCACTGGACAAACCGAATACTTCATGAATACAAGGTAAGCTGTTTAATAGAACTAAAAAGACATTTTATAACATAATTGCGATTTTGTTAGTATTATTAATATGTTTTAAACATGGAACATTAAATATATAGTCCCGAAATTAAAAATTTATCTTTTGGTTCACATGTCTGAAACTGGAAGAAAGATATTTTTATTTTTAATAATGTAAACTCTTTTAGTAAATACCTTCCTTATGCTAGATAATGACTAGTAATTTTTAAAAAACATGAAATAATCTCTGTCCATGGGGCATTTAAAAAACCTGATAGAATAGACAAAAAATATCTTTAGGCCTTGATAATTGTCTCTTTCTTCTTCTTCTTTTTTTTTTTAATGTATAATCTCAAAAGAAAATTTTCTCTTGGAATAATGTTACACAATTTTATCCTTTGGGGGCAGCCTTAATTTCAGAAACTGTTTAGTTGACCTATTTGGATTATCAAAGCTATGTTCTCCTTTCATATCTCTTTATTTTACTTTATTTGGTTTTAGAATCTCAGTACAAGTGAGGGTATCAGTAAAGAAATGCATCACCTTCAGCGCATGTTCTTACAGAATTGTTGGGAAATTCCGACATATGGAGCAGCTTTTTTCACAGGACAGATATTTACAAAAGCAAGCCCCAGCAATCATAAAGTCATCCCTGTGTATGTAGGAGTGAATATAAAAGGACTTCATCTTCTCAACATGGAAACTAAGGTAGATTTTCAGCTGTTTTGATCAGTCACATTGTATGTCTAAAATAACAGTACCAGCTTACATGAAGTATCTAGAAATGGCATAGATTTAAGTCTGTTTATGGCCATTGCATTTTTAATAGCAAAGGATTGGTGGTCATGAAACTAAATAATTATCAGTAGTGGTTAATATGTCAATTACAGTACATTTCTACATTGAAATACTTTTTGGCCATACAAAAGACTAAAGAATATTTATTTTTAAAGATTTTATTTATTTTATTTTTTAGGTGGAGAGGGAGGGAGAAAAACATTAATAAGTGGTTGCCTCTTGTATACCCCTACTGGGGATCGATCTATCCTGCAACCCAGGCATGTGCCTTGACTGGGAATCGAACCCACAACCCTGTGGTTTGCAGGCTGGCACTCATTCCACTGAGCAACACCAGCCAGGGCTAGGGCAAAGAATATTTTTGTATAGAATAATCTCCAACATTTCGTGAAAAAGCAAGGTGCTGAACCTTATGTATATGCCGCCCTTTGTGTAAAAACGAGCAAAGTAGGTATTTATCCAAACAAAACCAAAACACCAACTTAAAGATGTATACACCACCATGTTCAATATAGCATTACTTACAATAGCCAAGATATAGAAACAACCTTAAGTGTCCAATGATGGATGAATGGTAATGAAAATGTGATATACATACACACACAATAGAATATTATTCAGCCATTAAAAACGAAATCTTGCTCATAGTAACAACATGGGTGTACCTTGAGGGCATTTTGTTAAGTGACATAGGTTAGACTATGAAAGATAAATAACACGATCTCACGTATGTGTAGAATATTAGGGGGAAAAAACAGGCTCATAGATACAGAAAACAGATTGGTGGTTGCCAGTAGGGGAGGTGGTTTGGGGGTGGACAAAATGGGTCAAAAGTTGCTAACTTATGGTTGTAAAATAAGTCATGGGGGTGTAATGTACAGCATTGTGACTATAGTTTATAATACTGTACTGAATATTTGAAAGTTGCTAAGAGAGTAAACCTTGAAAGTCATCACAAGAATAAAAGGTTTTCAACTCTATGATAACAGATGTTAATTAGACTTACTGTGGTGATCATTTTGCAGTATATACAAATTTTGTATCATTATATTGTACCCCTAAAATTAATATATATCAATTATAGCTCAGTTTTCTAAAAATGGGGGGAAGTGAACACTATATTTACATAAATACATATTACTTGTGAAGCATAAAAACTCTCTTGAAGCCTTTAGAAAAGGGAACCAGGTAACTGGGAACAAGAGTAGGAGGGAGACTTTTCAGTCTATGGCATTAACTATGATTATATTACATACTTTAAACATCAGTTAGATTTAAATGAAAAATACACATATTTGAAAAAGAAAAATGTACTATCTGACACAGAAGCTTCCTTTCAAAATTAGAATTAGTTGTAAAAGCCTTTTGGGGGACAGGATGAAGTGTTGGAGGGATTAGGAATATCCATTGGAATACATCAGCTTGTTGCTGTTTTGTGCTCCTTTTTCCAAAGTCACTACAGTATAAAATGTGGGGTCATCAGTTATTTTTAGCATATTTAGCACATTTCATAGGATAATCAGCTTTCTAGTTTGTATAGGGAACTAATAAAAATCAAATATATTTTGTTCATTTAGATTTCTCGAGAATAGACCTGGCCAGGTGTATTAAAATTTATTTTTCAGTTGGACTCCATATACAGTTTTATATTAGTTTCAGGTTTGCAACATAGTGATTAGCCATTTAATTACTTTACAAAGTGGTGAACCCAGTAATTCTCATACCCTCTGACGCCATCTACAGTTACTATAATATTATTGACTATATTCTCTATGCTGTACTTTACATCCCTGTGACTGCCGATTTATACTTCTTAATCCCTTCTACCTCTTCAACCACCACTCCAGTGACCCTCCTATCTGTCGACCATCAGTGTGTTCTCTGTCTATGAGTTTGTTCCTGTTTTGTTTAGTTTGTTGTTTGGATTCTACATGCGAGTGATACCATGTGATACTTGTCTTTCTTTGTCTGACCTATTTCACTGAGCATAATTTTTTAAGTCTCTGATGTCAGCTTACTTTTGGGTCATTTGCTTTTTATTTTCTATTTAAACTGTTTTATTCACACAAAATAATTTCTTATTAGCTTGTAACCACTTTTCTATTTATGTTGTTAAAATGAAGGAGAAATTCCCCTCACTGTTTCAAGAAATTTTTTGGAGAATTTTATACCAATTTCTACAAATCCTTCTTCATTGAACTGGATGGTATTGCTGTGGGTATAATGCTGAGCCTTTTTTCTATACTGTATTTTATGTTTGACTTTTAGTATTCAAATGATGGTTCAGCAATATCTTTTACCATTTCATATTATGAATAATATTCTGGCCTGAGGGTTGAGGGAGAGTGTCAGGTAGAGAATGATAATTATTATTAGTTTATCAGTTTGCCTTTTCAGGAGATGTTCAATTTCTAGAAGTACAAGTAGAAATGCTGTGCTCAGGAATACAAAAAGATGATTGAACCCAAACACAATGATGTTTTCTGTCCACATGATCATTATCTTGTGCTCTGAGCCACTTTTAAATTGATAGCACCTCTGAAAGTTCTACTTGATTACATTTTCTGATGATCACAGGTGGGAGAAATCAGTTTGACCTCAGTTGTTGTAGACTCACCAGCATCTACTAGGACTGAATTGGGCACGTTTACTTAAATAAACAGCTTTATCTGTAAAATACTTTCATTTGCATTTAAAACTCCGCATGGGATAAAATAGCTTCAAAGATTATTTCTCAGGAACAGCCAGCCATAGAATAAGCTGTGGGCTTTTTTTTAATATCAGTTATTTCTACCTTCTCAACAGTGTGGTAATTATAGGGGGAGGGAGGTGAGTGGAGGTGGTAGAGGGGATGGGAGGATTAATGGTGGTGGAAAAAATAAAATAACAAACCAAAAAAAAACATTTTAAATTACAGGAAAAAATTATTTCTACCTTCTATATTTTGTTTCTTTTTGAAATAATGAAAGTTGCCCAGTCAGATAATATAGCTCAGCCAATTTCATATGCTCATCAGAGACTTGTCTGTCCTACTTACATAAAATGTAGACACTACTGAATAAAGACACTGTGTTGTGATTCAGTGTTTTACTGCAGTGAAAGCGTTGCAGTCTTCATAACTGAACTGTACTTGATATATCTATAACCTTAATAATACCACTGCCACACCCTGGCAGTAGATTGCCTTTTGTTGGTGTCAGTTTATTTTGAGCATAATGCCCCTCTGAAATAAAAGTGCTTATTTAAATACCCATATAATGTCATTCTTTGTCAACACCACGATTTCTCCTGTCTGTCCTGGCCAACTATGTGGTACTTTTGACTTCTGTGGTTTTCCCTTTTCTCCTCTCAACTATTCCTGCCATTTCTCTTGTTCTGTTTCATTTCACCTCCTAATGAGAACTACTTTTTACTTCTGAAGCAGATCTCTCAAAACCATAATGTGGACTCTGGCTCTTCAGCCCCATTCAACTGTTTTTATTATTGCGGATCAAGAATTCTGTTTCCCCTGTACATTGTCTTTTAACAACAAAAGACAATGTATGTTGTCTTTTGTAACAATGTCTGTTGTCAATGTAACTTTATTTTCAATGTATGGTCTCAGTAATTTTGTTGATAATTTGACTTCCATATAATTGAGTTGGTATACCACAGATATACAGTATTTTTTCTTATATTATACTGTTTTGAGGCTATGTTAATGGCTATTTCTTGCCTCTTGATTAAACAAATTTCAAGTGACTGATCTTCCAAAGATAGTCAGTTTAACATAGTATGATATCTTTACTGTATGTTTCAGTGTGCACCTTGGTAAATAGCTATTTTAGCATATTTTATCTATAAAGTTATATTTTACACTATAAATGTAAATAGCTATTTTTAAGCAAGAATGTTACCAATTTCCCATTATATATGATAGGTAAATTAATAATGTGTTTTATTTATAGAAGCTCACTTTTAAAATGCACTAAACCATTACCTTTCTAGAATGGTTTATTATTTATAATCAGTAAGTTAAGAACTGTCATAGAAAGCTCATGTTTCTAAACATACATATTTTAAAGGATGGCATGAACACTTTGTCTGTACAAAGAGTATATGTTTAGGGCAAGAAAATACAAGTTACTGCTAGGAGAAAATTATTTTATTTATTTTTTTTAAAGAATTTATTTATTTATTTTTAGAGAATGGAAGGGAAGGAGAAAGAGATGGAGAGAAACATCAAGGTGTGGTTGCTTCTAGCATGCCCCCCAGTGGGGGACCTGGCCTGCAACCCAGGCATGTGCCCTGACTGGGAATCGAACCAGTGACCTTTTGGTTCACAGGCCAGCACTCAATCCACTGAGCCACATCAGCCAGGGCAGAAAATTATTTTAAAATAATCCAGAAAATATATTGAATACCTCCCTACATATACCATTATGTTAGGAAGGTATAGAAATAGGTTGCTCTAATATTGTGGGGGGTGTTTTTTTTTTAATTAAAAAAGGAACATTTTAATTTGCATTTGTATGACCATCTATGCTACATAGTATAGTGTTTACATATGTAACCACTATTACATAATAGTGTTTATGCCTCAAATTTATGTCTTTTATATTTATTTATTTATTTGATCCATAATACTGTGTTTTTTAAAAGTTCTGTTGAATTTATGAAGGGTATATTTTTCAATACATTTATTTTTGCAATAAATATATTGGGGTCCTTACTGTCAGTGAGATGAAATTGCCTGAGTCAACATGTTACCCCTATTACATAAATTTCAAATCCAAAGCTCATGTGAATATTCAAAAGGTACTGAATAAAGTAAAAGGTATTGTTTTAACATGCAGAGAGTAAGTACTTGTAGTACATTTATTCTTCTTGAAAGTCCCTGACATAATGGGCATCTTTTATGTTCCTCAGCTTTAACTGAGACATAGACATATAACATTGTGTGAGTTTAAGGCATACAACATGTTGATTTGATACACTAACATACTGCGAAATGATTACCACCATAGCGTTAGCTAACACATGCATCACATCATATAATTACCATTATCTTTTTGTGGTGAGAACATTTAAGGTCAGTTAGCAACTTTCAAGCATACAGACTTCTAAGTATAAAGACTTTATAGTACAGTATCATTTGCTATAGTCACCATGCTATACATTAAATCCTCAGAATGTTTTCATCTTTTAACTGAAAGTTTGTATTCTGATTACCAACATCCCTTGGATTTTACCCACTTGCCAGCCCTTTGTAACCACCATTTTACTCTCTGTCTTTGTGAGTTTTGCTTTTTAAGATCCCACATATAAGTGATATCATACAGTATTTGTCCTTCTCTGTCTGACTTATTTCACTTAATGTAATGCCCTCAAGGTCCATCTTTGTGGTCGCAAATGACAGGATTTCCTTATTTCTCATGGCTGAATAATATATACACATACATACCACAGAATGGGCATCTTTAAAAATTTTTGTCAGTCTGATAAAAAGGATATCATTGCTTAAGGTGGTATCCGGAGAGTCTACCATATATGTAGCACTGCACTATAGGCCATATGAAGTTAGTGTGGTGCTTTCTTTGAATAAGTTTTATTCTAACAATAGATCTCACTGTATAAGTATAGATAGTAAGAGAAGATTGGTGTTTTTAATACATATTTAAATACAATACTTTTTCATTATGTTGTAGGCTTTACTCATCAGTCTTAAGTATGGCTGTTTTATGTGGCAGTTGGGAGATGCTGATACATGTTTTCAGATCCATAGCATGGAAAATAAAATGAGTTTCATAGTACACACAAAACAGGTAAGTACCTGTTATTCTGGATGTGTAATAATGAACTACTATTTAGTAAAATTATTTTTTATAAAATGACAACCCATCTTACTTCAAGGAAAACTGCTAATATGACATGAAATTAAAATATTTAAGACCCAGGGAATAAAGCAGGCCTTTCCCAAGCAAAGAAAGTCTGGCCAGTATTGCCTATCCCTCTCTCAAAGTGTCAGGTGGTCCTTCTCTGTTCTTGACTAGTATCCTGTCTGAGCCACTGGTTGCATGCAGCATGTTGTTTCTGAAATCCCTTCAAAAGCCTGAGGAAGTATACTCTGTTCTTGACAAGCTGCCTCCTGATAAGAAAGTTCCTTTTCAAATAGCTAGAGAACTGCCCACTGTCTTGTGTATTGTTCACTCATCTGACATGTTTCATATTTATTGTCAACATGTTTGACTTTGTAGGCTGGCCTCGTGGTGAAACTGCTAATGAAACTGAATGGACAACTGTTGCCTCCCGAAAGGAATTCCTGAGAGGAAAACTACTGATACTTAGGCCACCATATTTTGTGATACAGACTTTTTTCCATGAAAGATTTCTTAAACTATCACTTTTAACAAGGCATTTAGTCTCTTGTAATATATATGTATGCTATTACATTGTACAGAATCTGTACTTATGTTTGGTGTGTAATATACCAATTACTTTTATATGATATCCTTATAAGCTATTCTAATTTTTCAAAGAAATGACCACAAAAAAAAAGTGTAGATTGATAGTCTATATAATGTTAGACAAAATTGTAAGCTCTATAAAAAGTTATTTTTGGTAAATGGTAAAGAATTTAGAGTGGAATGTGATGAAATTAAAAAACATAGCTTTGCTATAACTTTGTGTGTCATTTCAAAACATACTTGAAAGTCAACATGCTTTTAATAAAGACATGTATTTTCTACTTAAGCCATAAATAACACATATGTAAACATTTTTCTATAATCTGTGAACATTTCTCAGCATGTTTTTTAAAGACTAGGTTAAAATGGATCTAGGAAGTTTTATAATTCCTTTTTTTAACTTTATTTTTATTGTTGACACTATTACAGATGTCTCCATTTTTCTCCTTTGCCCACCTAGATCCAACCCTCACCCCTCCGCCCTTCCCTCTGCCATCACCACACTGTTGTCTGTATCTGTGGGTGATGCATATGCGTTCTTTGGCTGATCCCTTCACCTTCTTTCATCCAGGACCCTCCTCTCCCTCTCCCCTCTAACATTTGTCAGTCTGTTCCATGTATCACTGCCTCTGTCTATTTTGTTAGTTTATTCTGTTCACTAGATTCTACATGTAAGTGAGATCATATGGTATTTGTGTTTCACTGACTGGCTTCTTGAACCCCCTGCATCATAATTACCTAGTTGCCTCCTTAAAAATGAGAATTTCAGAGACTCTAAATGAATATGTTACTCTTACAGCCTGGGAATTTTTTCTTAATTTTGGATTTTGGTTGAAATAATTCCAGACCCAAATATGAATTTGGATGATTAAAGTTAAAGTAAATTATACAAAAATGCCTGGTTTACAAGCACATATGTACACAGATTAAATGACAATCTTTAGATATTCATAGTTGCATTTATTAATAAGCACATGTATTTTTATGGGTTGGCTTAATGATAATCACCAAATATTCGGTTGCTTCATTTAGGGAGTATTGATATCATAGATGAGGGAGCTAACTTGATTAATATCCTATTTAATAAGCTTAGAGACTAGTCTTTCAAGCTAATAGACTGATGTGTTCTAAGTTCAGAGATATAGTCATATTTAAAGTTATCCTGCAGATTGCAGGATTTATATATATCATCATCTCTTCACATTAACTTCTGCTTATTTTTAATGGTGCTCTATCTGAGCCTTATTAAAATCAACATTGCACAGTTAAGTAAGTTTAATGATAAAGCCTGATTTAATTCTGTGCTAAGCACTTTTCAAAATTTTATTTATTCTTAGAGAAAGGGAGGGAAAAAGAGGAGAGAAACATCACTGCAAGAGAGAAACATCGATCAGTTACCTCTTGCACACCCCTACTGGGGACAAAACCACAACCCAGGCAAGTGCCCTGAGCAGGAAGTGAACCAGTGACCTTTTGCCTTGAGGGACAAGGCACAGGCAACTGAGCCACAGTGGTCCCGGTGGTGCTAAGTACTTTTGATTCTACATAGACAATTCCCTGGTTCAATTTTATCCATTTCAACGGTCTCAACTGTTAGCAAAATCCCTGTTGACTCTCAAACATAAAACTTCAGCCTCAGCCTCACTTCTGAACTCGAGATCTGAGTTTCTCATTTCCTGCTATTCTAGCTACACCTAAATGGCCTACACAAGGAACTTCAGTTTCATCACAGCTGGAAACAATCGTTTCAGCTTGCTTCATTCTGTCTCTACATTTGTATCCTCTGATTGATTGGTTAATGGCATTATCAAATTGCATATCCAGCAGCTTAGCCTAGAAATCTTAGAGTAGTCTTCAACTTTGCCCTTGTTAATAACCCTACATCACAGGTGGCACACACAAGGCCTGAGGGCCAAATCTGGCCCTCCACCTTGTTTTATCTGGCCCAGCACCTTGTTTCTACCCAGAGGCTGTGCTGAGCTCTCGCTTAACAGTTAAGGAGTAGCTACATTTATATAGTCCTAAAATTACATTCAGCCCTTTGAAGACAACCTCGAGGCTGATGTGGCCCCCAGTAAAAATGAGTTTGACACCCCTGCCCTACATGTTCCATTTATTGAGTTCTGTCCAGTGTCTTGTGAGTTCTTTCTCATTCCCATCTCTTTTTTCTTGCCAGCCACCCTAGTTCAAGTCCTCACCATCTATTCTAGGCTCATTGTAGCCTCTTCCCCTGACTCAGGCTCTACACCCTGCCCTACACCTCTCCGTCACACTGGTGCCAACTTAACCTTTCTCAGATCTGATTATTTCATACCCTTTGAAAACCCTCACTATATATGAATTAAACTCCAATTTCTTAACTGAATTTAGGGCCTTTAATACTTACACACCTGCCTACCCAGATTAATGTCTAACCATTTACCCTATGCTCCTTCCTACCCAGTGTTTTCTAATCCTGGCTCTGCAGTCACATGGGGAGTTTGAATACTTTAGGACTTAATAATTTTAGGATGGAGCCAAAGTATTATTTTAGAATATCCCATGGGATTTTGATGTATATCTTAGGGTTTAGAATTGCTGTAACAATTGGTTTTAACAAGGAGTTAGCTGACTGCTTTTTCTTTCATAGAGTGTAGTGAGGGTGCAATGATACTATATTAAACAAATCCCTGCTCCGTAGAATACAATGTACCCTCTTACAGTTTCTCTTCCCTGTAGAGAAGGGAAAACTACTAGAGTAGCATGGCTATGGAAGGCTTAAAAATATATAGCATTAAAAAGTCAATTTTAAAAAATTGAGTATTGAGAAAAAAATGATTCATTACCTGTCAGATCATAACAAACCAAAAATAATAATAGGGAAATTCAAACAGTTTTTAATGAGCGCCTAGGATTGGTCGGGCATTATATGTGCACTGAGGATAAAAGATACCATTTTCCTTTTCATCATTCAATAAATGTGAGTGCTTTTTATATGCCGAGGATTCAGTGGTAAGGGAAACAAAGTCCCTGCCTTCAGTGAGCAAAGAGTGTAATGAGAGAGGTAATGAATATTCATAGAAGTATACATGTGTAAACTCTAGTAAGGGGGATGAAAGGAAAATTAAATGTACTATCTAACCATTTTAAAAAAAAGGAAACTTGATCTGGTCTTAGAGATCAGGAGAGGCTTCCTTCCCCAAACAGTCCTGCTTGAGCTGGCATCTGAGAGGTAGGCAGGACTGAATGATGGGAAGAAAACAGGGAGGGGGAAGAGAAATGAGGTGAGATGTTTGGATCCCAAGGACGGTCCTGGAGAAATGATGAGGGGGATTACAGTTTTCTCATTTTTAGTGAAGAAGTGAATTTAAACAAATTTTAATCTAAATCACAACAAATGAATTTCCATTAAAGTAAAACCAGAACAGCTAACACTGCACATGATACATGTATTAGAGAAAAACTCACCGAAGAATCAAATCTTACAAGATTAAAAGTTGCCAAAATTGACCCTAGAAAAATTAGACTTGATAGAAATATTTAGCAAACTGCCTACAAGTTCTTGACCAAATAGAATTGCATTGATAAAATTTAGATTTTAATTTGATTGTGAGGAACTCAATGGCAAAAACTATAATTGGAAGAATTTGACATGTACAAAATACTGATGAATCAATTCCTTGGTTTATAATTTAATAGGAAAAAAACAATGAGAATGATTTCAGTAAAATGAAAATGGGAAAAAATGGAAATTGCTTTTTCTATACTATATAAAACTGATAAAAAAATTAATTAGGGCCTGGCTGGTGTGGCTCAGTTGGCTGGAGTGTCGTCCTATAACTGAAGGGTTGCGGATTCGATTCCCAGTCAGGGCACATGCCTAGGTTGCACATTCAATCCTGTCCAGGTGTGTGCAATCCCTCGTCTAGGCATGTGTGAGAGGCAAACGATTGAGGCTTCTCTTCCTCTCCTAAAAGCAGTGAAAACATGTCCTCAAGCAAGCAATGAAAAAATTCCTCAAGTGAGGGAAAAAATTGGTTTTAGTGCATGCAAAAAGAAAAAGCTTTCCAAAAATCCATTTGTGATGGTATGATTCTCATTTTAACATTTGTACACACAAAGTCAGAATGCCTCCAGGTCATATCTGGTATCTGGAGAAGCAAATACAGACTAAAAAGTCTCTAAAAGAAAAAATGGGTAAGTCCTGGGGATTCTTAGCTGGAATGTTTGAGGTAAAGAAATACCTTTCAGATATTTTGGGTGTGGGTGAGAAAAGTAATTTCAATACATTGTGCTAATTTCTATGATGGAAGGAAGTACTGGTTGTTTAGGATTCAATACAATGTCACCAAGGATGAGTGGGAAATTAGGGACTTCTTCCCTGTTAGTTAAGTAATAATCATAGCTAACACTTAAAACAGTGCTTACTAAGTGCCTGGCATTGTTTGAAGTACTTGTAGATACACTAATTGATTTAATCCTCACAACAATCCCTATGAGGCAGATACTATTCCCACTGTACAGATGAAAGAAACAGTTAAGTTACTTGACAAAGAGACATAGCTAATAAGTGGTAAAACTGAGAATCATATCGAGGCCTGACACCAGAGGACAAGTGAATCAGAAACTGGATGTCTGGGTGTAATAAAACATAACAAGATATTTGTCTTCTATTTTTTTAAAAGCTAAGGAGCCAAACTTCTTCACACAGTGATGCTAATCTTTTCATTTTCTTTTATTATCTAACTGAACAAGATGGTGTATGGAAAGTTTATGTTACTTGTTTAAGGTTGAAGCAGTAAGTGGTAGGGTCAGAATTCAAAGTCTGGCAGTTTGGCTTTTGAATTCAGACACTAATCAGGTACGGGCAAGAACTGGAGTCTTTGGGACTTCATTAGCTCAGATATGTTTATTGAAAGATCATCTTGGGCTAGTGCATAGAAGAAAGGCTGGAAGGGTTCTAGGTAAGAAGGTATAAGACAATGGAAAGATAGATTGAGAGTAACACAAGAATAGAGCAGAGAACCAAACCAAAAAATGCCAGCATTTGAGAAATGGGCATAGTTAGAGCAATCCCCATCATCTTGGTAGGCAAGTGGATATCAGAAAAGAAATAGCTCAGCATCATCCTGTATGCTGTGTATGGAATACATTTCATATAGGCAACAATTTAAAAATGTTTAAGATTTGATTTATTTTTATTTTTTGAGAGGGGAAGGGAAGGAGAAAGAGAGGG